CAACCGGGAAAGGTTAACTGTGGAAACTCTAAAAGGCAAAAGAGCCCCGTTGACGAAAGGAGATATAAAAGGTGAAGAGGGAAAGAATACAAAATCATTCTTCAAACTGAGCTAGATCAGAAAGAAACAAAAACCTGCCTACTTAATCACACTACTGGGTGTTTCTCTGTCTTTATCATCACAAATTGCGGCTTGAAATCTGAGATGCTAACTTCTGGGTCAGTCTAACAAAAGTATGTAATCACTGCACCTCTCCATTTTCTGTTTGTCTTTAAAGGTTCCATGTCATGCTTTTCTGGTTATTACCCGTCCCCTTGTGTGTTATGAAGGTTTTTATGCATGTAAACGGTCTGCAGAGTCACAAACCCTCAAAGTACACCCTGTAGCGAGTAAAAGTCTAACACAGAAAAGACCTGTCTATGCTGCCCCAGAACGCCTCGTTGGAGATTTCTCTTTTTCTTCCTGGGTACAGTGACGTATTTGGGTATAGTGACGTAACGTAACGTAACGGCTCCGCGGATTGGTCCGTTACGTTACGTCTGCGGAGCCGTTACATTAAGTCCGTGGATTGGTCGAAATGGACCAATCCGCGGACTGGACCAATCCGCGGACTTCCTCACACACACACACTCAATCTTTTCTCAGCTGCAGCTCCGCCGATTTCTCCGCCTGAGACGGCGGAACGCGGCGAGGCTGTGAGTCTCTGTGTGAGCACACACAAACTCCCAGCCAGGCTGCGGGTGTGTGTGTGTGTGTGTGTGTGTGTGTTTGTGTGTGTGTGTGTGTGTGTGTGTGTGTGTGTGTGTGTGTGTGTGTGTGTGTGTGTGTGTGTGTGTGTGTGTGTGTGTGTGTGTGTGTGTGTGTGTGTGTGTGTGTGTGTGTGTGTGTGTGTGTGTGTGTGTGTGTGTGTGTGTGTGTGTGTGTGTGTGTTTTTCCTGTGCATGATAATTACAACCTTCCCCTGCTGCGCTGCTGCTCATTATACTGAGTGAGTGTGTGAGTCTGTGGTTACAGGCACGGTAACAATAACAGTCCCGACTGGGCTCTGCCACATTAGCCCGACAGAAATCACAGCTAAGTGAAGTGTGAAATGAATAACCGAGAGGCAGGAAAGCGCTGACTCGTCTCTTCTGTTATAGAAAACCTGATATCTTACATACAAAGCGCGCTCTCGCCTAATGGAGCTTTATGTTTGACATAACAGCATGGATCTCAATCAGGAGCCTTTTTGTGTTTTATCTTCGTCAAAATTGATTATTGATCCTTTTCAGCATAACAGAATCATTCAATTGTTACCTAAAAACACAAATAACTGATGTTGTGCAAGAGGCTAGTTAGCAATCTTTCTTTTAAATCATGGGCGGAGAGGTGGGACTTCATTATTGGAGGAATATTGATTGATATACAGAGCGGTACAAAGCAGTTATCACTCTGTGCCTTCATTGTGATGCAGAATACTTCAGTCAGTATTTACTAGTTGAGCCAGTGGATTGATTTACTATCCATTGACCTTGTGGTTTAAGTGTCTTAGAGAGCAGTGAATTAAATCACTTATGTTAATGACACAGTGAACATTACCTTTGTAACCAATTATAGCTCTGTAATGTTGGTGGCCTGTTCATTTTGGTAATATGCTATTTTCATCCACAAGGGAGGCAAGGTTGGTCAGTCAACCACTTTGTTCCCGACTTAAAATTCCCCGCTGTTATTCCATTAATATTCATGACATTTTGTTCAAACATCCATCACTCCCACACAATGAATCATGCTGACTTTGGTGATACTCTGTCTTTGTCTCTGGATTTAACAAAGTGTGGTTTTGGGTGAAAATACTCAACAACTATGGGTATATTGTCATGAAACGGAGACCCATCGGATGACCAATGCTCGGCTGAATTGATTACTTTTTAGACCCTGTAGAGATTTGACTAACATCTTTACTTTCTTCTAGTGGCTTCATCAAGTCAAAACTTTAACTTCCTGGCTTTTATTTGATTTATTTCCATTTCATTTTGGAGAGATACTCATCACTCCCACACAGTGAATACTAATGAATTTGGTGACCCTTTCTCCTAACATCACCAAGGGATTAACAGATGTCTTTTTGGGTGAAAAGACTCAACAACTTTACTGTAAATTGGATCGTCATGAAATTAATTTCGGGCAGCTGGATTGATTACAATGGAGAACTATTGGATGACTGATATTCTGCTGAAACACTTTGTAGATCATGACATGTGATTCTCTAATACCCCAATCTCCACCCTCCACCTCACCACATTTAGGACACACTTCTTATTAGGGTTGGCATTGAACTTTTGTATTGAATGCAACTTGTGAGCTGCAGTAATCATCCAATATGATTGTTTTCTCTTTGGAATATGTTGCTGTGTAGCATATTTGCATGATCCATGAATGTACTCCTCATATGTGCTACTGCTACTGAACTGTAGGACAAGCATATACTTTGACTTTCATTCTAGCACTTGAAATGTTTAGCTCATTTGAAACCAATGCAGTAGCACTTACAGTAGCGTGTTTTTGCTAACTGAAAGCTAACGTATACCTGCAGGATTTTGTTATTTTGAGTTTGAGTGCACTTATTGTGGCCTGCTTTCAATAAAAGCATCAGGTGAATGTTATGCAATGAGGTTATTCTTCAGGTGAACATGAATTTCTGCATTGTATTTTATGACACTCTAAAAGTTATTTGAGATATTTCTCTTGAGACCATTATGTGGCAACAGTAGAACGGTTACCTGAGTGTGACCCTGCCACAAAATGCAACACACCATGTAAACAGAAGAAGTAATTAAAATGACAGTATTGACGAGTGAGAAGCGTGACAGAAACATTCCCGCTGGGTTTATAACTACCAGTCTAAAGCATTAGCAGCAGCTTGAGACCGTTGCGATCTCTGCCACACAGGAACATATGGAGCTGATGGTGATTACTTTTATTGTCTCTCATTGTTGTCACCATGTGTTCAATATGTCGGAGGCTCCATCAATACCACCTCCTGGGGCTTCAACACGTTCCTGCTCCCTGCTCATTAACTATTTACTGAATCCATCAACACAAATGCACACACACACACACACACACACAAATAGTTCCACTTCGACACACATTTATCTCTTTCATCCACGCATTTATGGGCTCAGAACAGTCTCATAATTCACACATGCACACAGAAGGATTCACACTTGTATTTCCGGATCCATACTTGTGGTTTTCAATGCACACAGGATGTAACTTTAGTAAATTGTGTAATTTTTGTATCTAATATTAAGCTGTCTTTGGCTCTTTTCTTGCTGTAACAAATGCAAATTTCCCCTCTGGGACGAATTAAGGTATTCTGATTCTGATTCTGATTCTGATTGGTTGAGTTAAGTTAAGTTGAATTATTTTTCAATCGCCTCATGCAATGTTTTTGAATTGTCTTATTATTAAACAATTATTCAAGTCCCATTGAGAATGGAAAACGTATCATCCAATGGAGCCCTGGTCAAGACATGGGCAACTGTGTTTCCTAACAAACTAGCCTACATGTAAAACAAACACACTGCTTTTACGATGACACCCACATAAACTTTAAAACAAACATGCAGTATCAGCTATATGCAAAGGACGAAAAGGGGAACAGACCAAAGATGGACTGATGAATTCATTGGAAGAGTCAGCAGAAGGTCAATGAAGGCCACAGAACTTTGAATATTTATATGTGATCAATCCCTTTGCCTTCCTTTCCTTCTTTTGCCATTCGTGCTTCAGTGTAATGTGGCTCTTGAAGTTGTGTTGGGACAATACTGAATGTACTTTTCCAATATCAGAGTAACATGATAACAAAGGCCCAACTGTAGCTGTGTACATGACAGGATGTATATGATTATCTAGAAGAGAATCAGGACTGTTTTAGGCATATGATAGCTATGTGATTAACATGATGATTCAGCCTCTATGGAGATAGACATATGACTGTCATGTGTTTTGCTTATGTTGGTTTTAGCTAATCTGAACTAAACATAGAATACTGCTTTATATTCCTCCATCTTGTGACTGTGTAACTCCCTCTCTTGTATATCAGCATCTGAAGGACACTGTTCAGGAACTAGTTGTACCAAATGCTCTGTATGTGATGACTACTTCCATTCTTGCAAGGATAATAAATACATGGATCCTGATATTGAAGCTGAAGCCACTGACGAGGGATATTTCTCTAACAAGTTTCATTGATGACCTTTTTGACCACACAGGTTGCGGTTGAATTTCCAAAAATGCAGGTTCTATCGTCTTTTTCAAACCACTATTCCTTAACTTCTGAGTTAAACATCATAGGGTTAAGAGAAAATACAAAGGAGAATACATCAGGACTCAGGAAAAGACAACTGCGGTGCGAAGAGAATCTGACTGCATTTACATTAGGCTGTTAATGATTGGCCAGCGGATGTTATTGATGACAGTAGATTACTAAAAGTGTATGTAGATACTTTGCTCTTTGTGGTGATGATTTATAAACATGAACAACAGTGAACAACATTATTAGATTAAAATATATACAACATTTTCTCCTTTCATTTCGAAAAGGGTGGTCGAGTGTATGCTAAACTAAAGGAGATTATAAAGGAAGCACTGAAGCTCTTTTCCTATTATCTAGACTTCTGATCAGCTCTCATCACGCCTGACACGGAGGAACTTCTGAGTCATTTCACTCCGTTAGGAACCTTCCCAAGACCCCAGGAAGTGCCCCGGCAGTTGAAGGACATTTTCGTGGTGGCTGTATTGAAAAACAGTTGTAATTTGGTTTTCCTGCTGTGTATCACCAGTCCTACGCCGGTATCACTCTATTTGTCTTTTCTTGTAAATGCATGTCCAAATGTAAGTAAATAAGCCTGATATAAAAGGTTCCATATCCACTTTGCATTAAGTCGAAAGTGCAGCTGACTAACGCATAATGTTAGTTAATGTTTAACCTAATGTATAATGTAAACAGCTGCACATCTACAGTCTCAGTCCAAAAGAGAAGAACAGGGAAGAGACAAGGATGGAAAAAGTTCTTCTGATCATCATCGCTCTTTCAGGCAAGAGTTTTATATTTTTTATTTCAAATACTGCATGTTATCCCATTAGCAATGTTTAGTACTTTGTATTGTGGTTTCCCTCTGACAATTACTTAAGTTGTTTAATTTACAGTTTAACTTTAATGTAATTTGGAGAAGTCGGTTCAGTAATTGATATTGAATCTAATCAAAGTGTCTGTGTCTCTACAGGGCTGAGCGCTGTCTCCTCACATGCTGAACGTCAGTACCATTTTGTTTATGAAGCAAAGAACATGTCTGAAGCACAGAGATACTGCAGAGAGAAACACACAGACCTGGCCACTGTAGACAGCATGGAGGTTGTGGAGCTCCTGAACAACATGGCAGGCCAATACAACCAAGTGAGGTCACTTTTCTCTGTCTTTTGATTCAAATGAATTACATTTCTTTTAGAGTCAAATTTAAAAAGGAGAGATTATTACAGAAAGCTAAACCTGTTTTAAAGTCCTATGGGAACCTGAGTATTAAAACAGAGTTGAAAATGTTTTAAGCCAAAGCTATAGCATAAAACCCTGTAATAAAGTGGAAGAGGTTCAGAGTAACAAGGCTGTAAATGAATGTTGACTTGAGGGGATTCCCATCAGATCACCATGTACCAAGGCTGGTCTCATAAAGGCACAACAAAAACCTTCTCTTTATTGAACATACACATTTTCTTCAGCAGCAGCTTTAAAAGCTTCAACAGGATGTAATAATTATAACAATGTCTTGCTTTCAGTCAGCCTGGATAGGGCTGCACGATGACTGGGACACCTGGAGGTGGTCGATGTCAGACCCAAGCTTCTACGGACCGGGGGAGACGGAGTTCAGACAATGGGGGCCTGGAGAACCAAGCAACGGCCACGATGAACAATGCACACATTTTCATCGTAGTGGAATATGGGGTGATCATGATTGTAATAACCCCCTCTATGTGGTCTGCTTTGATGTCACAGGTAAGAATATAAACTTACAATTAATATTACACATTTAAAATCATATTTTAAGCTTCTGAAATACAATGCATTGGTCTTTATCTAACTAGCGGTTCCCAACCTTTTTTCTTTGTGACTTTCTTTCTTTTGTTAGCAGTTCCACTAAAGACATTTCCCTTTTCACTCAAATTCTCACATGGTTTCATTTAAAAGATAACGTCAAAGGAAGTTATGTATATACCATTTTTTGCTAACTTATTTCAGAATTGTAGGTACGTTTTACATCTTATACATCTGTGCTAAACAGAATAAGAACAATATAGAATCAATATAATTTGAATGAAGCTTTAACCTGTAACACAGTATATTCACATTGTTGTACTCCTGCTTTTACTAAGATATCTGAATACTTCTTCCATCACTGATACTACTAAAGTTTCTTGCCAACATTCATCTGTTGAAAAACCCCAGAACTACAAATTACAAAGTACAAATGTGTGGGATTTAAATGTAATATTTTATATTATAAAGGCATCAATACCACCAGAGATGTGGCATTGATGTCAGGCTGTATGTTGTGGTGCCTCTACTCAGCTTCTCTGGGGTCCATTTTCAGGGCCGAATGCAACATTTGTCCTCATTGAAAGAGGAATGACATGGACTGAGGCCCAGAGCTACTGCAGAGAACACCACACAGACCTGGCCAGTGTGAGAAACCTGGCGGATAGCCAGCGGATTGAGAGTTCAGCTGGAGGGGTTTATTGGATCGGCCTTTACAGAGACTCCTGGAAGTGGTCCGATGGAAGTTTCTCCTCCTTCGAGTACTGGGCAGAAAATGAACCTAACTACATAGGTCTCAAAGTTTGTGTGGCTGCAGCTTTCAACAACTTTGGAAAATGGGAGGACTTGGACTGTGGAGTGGATAAACCATTCATTTGCTACGGACGTGAGTACAATTCACAGCTACGTCAAAGCAAGTGATGATATTGAGTCTGCTGAAAAAGAAGACACCATAAATGTTGTGACTGATGAAGTTTGTTTGTGTTTTTAGCTGTGCCTGTTAAGCCTGATATGACTCCTGAGCCTGCTGTGTCTACTGTGCCTGTTGTGCCTGTTTCAATGAAAGTGATAAAGGTGAGCGTGGAGAACCCAAACGGTGTGGATCTGAACGACCCCGCTTTTCTGGATGCGATGTTGGTGGAGGTAAATCATGTTTTATACTTTTATTCAAAATCATCAATCACCAGAAAGGAAATTCACATGACATGAGAACAAGAGACGAAATAGGTAGGAAACAAATAAATAACTATTAAAGAATAATGAATTCAACGAAAGAAAATGTAGTAAATGTATATATGCAGAAGTAAATAGCAGAAACTTAGCCACATGCCACCAAATGCATTAGGAAAATGTACAAATACTATTCCATAACCTGAGGTAAGCCTTTACACTGGAAGAAATAAGGGGAACAACTACCATTTCAGATGAGTGAACTAAAGATAAATCATCTGTTTTTATTGGAACGATAATGAAAATGAGTTTTTGTGTCTCAGGCGAAAAAGAACCTAAGGGCCCAGGGATTGGACGACAACGTCCAACTGGCCTGGAGGAAGCAGCCGGATGGACAAGTCTTCCACGAGGAGGAGGAGAAGAAGAGGGATGAGCTCTAAAGCTGAATTGCTGTGTCGGCTTTTATCAGAGAAAAGTGTGTTTCTTTCCTCAAAGCCCTCGTGTTACAGAATTCAGCTGCAACAATGATCTGAATAATCAATTAGTTACGATCATTTTTGATAGAAGATAGAGAATGTAATGCTTTTCCTTGTTATATATGGTTATGAATTTAATATGTTTAGGGTTTTTACTATTGAATGTATTTGCTTGGCCGGTGGGAGATAATAATAAAATGTTTGGCTTTTATTGAATTCTGATCAAGATTAAATTACCAATAAAAAAAATGACCTTTAATGAAATTTCATACAAAAATGTGTTTCTTTATTTGCATCATAATTATTGTTTTTTTTGTCTCACAATATCTTCAAATGAGTTATGTTGAAAACAGAAACAGGCCGTGCATTTCACAACTAGGCCTTCAGTAGTGTCTACCTGAATGAACCCACCTCCTAATAGCATTATTATGACGTCACGGCTATAGAAACCATTAATATGATACATTAACGCAGTATAACAGGGCGCTGCATCACAGACAGGTTTCTAATGTAGAGAGAATGAATGCCATTACTAAAGCAAGAACACCAAACAACACAATTCAACAAGCCTCCTTTCACTGCTGCGCCGCACATCATCTCTAGCAGAAGCAACAATATTTACTTCATAAAATGACAAGAAAATATCAACAATGTTAAATAAAAGTCAATATAGCCATTACTCACCAATACGTTTGATTATTTGTTCCCAAAAACCATCCTCCTTTCTTTCTGAAGAGTTCAGTTACTGTGTTGTTCAGATTACCTGAGTGTTTCAGTTCCAATAATAAGTCCTGTTCTAACGCCATGGAGGCTGATGCTGGAAGTCGAGTCAGTTCAGTCGTATTTCTGTCAAAACACATTGTGGAATATAGGAATGAACAGAGTCCTGCTTCTGACACTGCTCAGTTCTCTTTATACATGAACCTTCCTAAGAACAATTCCACCTCAGCCACATCCATCATGGTGCACTTTGTAATGGAGGGTATGTCCTCTTGTTGGGGGACATTTAGAAGATTATTGGTGAGAGATGTTTGGCCGGAATATATGCAAGATCCTGAATCACAAGACGCTTTTTTTTTTTAAATATAGGTAATGCCTTTTAGACTATAAAGTGATTTTTGAAAAGTGAGGTTTTGAAATATGAAGCTTTTTTAATTGTAAAGCAGCTCTAAACATTCTGAATGTGTCTCAGTTCATTTTGGTTTGCAGTAAACGCCATCAGAGGGTGAACATGTACTCAAGCCTTTGCCTTGAGAGTAAAATCCTTTTGAGCAGCTAAAACAAAGCGTTTGAAACAGGTATCCAGACACAAAGAAAAATAAAGTTTGTGTAACATTAACCCTCCTATTGTTTTCGTTCCCCCCCTTACTTTGGTGTTCACGGTCAAATTTGACCGGTCCTGTTTTAACTGCTATTACATTAACACAAAAACCATCATCACCAAATTTCATTTAACACCCTTTCAAACTGTACATATTGTATCAGACTACTGGTATACATGAAACACTGCAGTAAATATACAAAGAACAGACACTGAACATGTATTGAGTGAGCCAGGTGTGATCCATGTGGGGGGATGGGCACATACTGTAAGGTCAACCTGGTCTCACCAGAATGCGTGACTCCACCACGACTCCTTAACACCGCAGTGCGTGGTGGAGTCACGAACTTTGCTACATTTACGTGTCTGCACCACGCAAACAACCCCAATGTAAAGTGAATGAGGCTCCTTTGTCGTGGTGCACACACGCATTTCTACAACGTCCAGCAGTGAGCTTTTATTCTATAAAACGTTTTTAAAATCTACTTTATAGCTTGTAGTAACTCACAGGAGGCTTCTTTTATTTTATTTGTATTCATAATCATTTTTATTTTTCGTCAGAATGTATTATGGTGCATTATTCACCAATGTTTGTTCTCAAAAAACAATGCATTGTGTGTAATACAACTGTGATTTTTATTAAATTAGTTCGTTTTTAAGGAAGGCCAGAGCTTCAGCTGTGTCAAAGAGATTGTTCCCTTTAGTTAACGTTATTTAAAAGATAATTATATTCCTATTTGATTAAGTCCCCTTTATTGTATTACGGACCCAAAGAGCTGAGCGTCCATTCCCATTGGATAACAGAGCATTTTACACCCGGAAGTAAGTATTCTCCTTACTGTCCATTGATTTTATTTACAGTGATATCTGCACTACTCATCAACTCAAAAACACCAGATTAGCCTTGTTAATTACACAACATTGATTGGTTTAAATTGTGTGCAATGCTTTTGTATTTTCCCCTTTCGATTCGGAGAAACAAATATTTGTTCGTAGTGTGTGGATGGCAGAAGGCACTACACTACCCAGAATCCTCAGCTATAGGACTACACCATGTGCTTAGAACGTGTCCTACCCCCCCCTTAGGTCACAGGCTCCTCCAACAGTGCAACACAATAAAACAGATAGGCTACACAGAACAAATAGTGCAAGTAAATACAAAAAGAAAAATAGTAAAATAGTAAAAAGTGAAATAGTGCAATAAGAGTCTATATACAAGTGATTGGAATATGATATATTAGATAAATAATTTCTAAGTAGCAGCCAGATGAATGTTATGGATGTTGTTTCTAAGTTCAGGTGTTTAATAGTCTTATGGCCTGTGGGATGAAACTGTCCCTGAGTCTGGTGGTTTTAGTCCGGATGCTGCGGTACCGCCTGCCAGACGGCAGCAGACAGAACAGTTTGTGGGGTGATGGGGGTCTTTTATAATCCTGAGGGCTTTCTTTAAGGTTAACCTGGTATTTTTACTCCACTACATTTATTTTAGTTACTTTACAGATTTGGATTAATGATGTGAAATATAAACAACCCTTAAATCAGACTTTAGTTACACCGGAGTAAAATTCAGTGAATTCAGCCAACAATCAGGCGAGATATTTGGTAGTGGGTGCTTGAGAAGACTAAATATGTATCTGCAGATCCCTAAAGCATATTCATTACTCGTTATTCTCTACTAATAGTTCATTAAAAACTGTATATAATGGCTATTTTGCACATCCCTTTCAAGATTTCAAGATTTTCTAAGGTTTATTGACATATCATATACACAACTATGGTGTAGTTATGCAATGAATGAAACACTTGGGTCACAGGTTCATCAACAGTGCATCACAATACATCTATCGATATCTGTGTACCTCCACCATTAAACATATTCTGCACATTTCTTATACTATCTACATACATCTTATAAGAGTATAATTAATATGTATAATATCAGTTAAAATAAGTGCTTCAACATAGTTAACATTGAAGGAAAGTTGATTGTCAAGTTCCAAAACAAACCATGCAATATATTAGACGTTAAGTACTTTGTCAGGCTTAATATCTGTAGATACCCCCAAAGCTTTTTTCTTATTTAAAAGACGACCTTAACCTAAAGTATTCTTTAATGTTTAAATAAAGCCTTATAAGTTTGTCTGTTTTGCACATCCTCCTATCAGGCACTAAACTGTTTTATTGTAGAGATCACTTACAGTATCTTCTTGATATTTTCTATTCTATATTATTTATATCATTGACCTTCCACTTTCCCACTATATTAAGAGTATGTACTCTTAATATTGAAATGTTTTCATCAAATATAACACATTCAAAAGTGCTTTACAAAAATGAAAGACATTAAGAAAAAGGCATTTTAAAACAGTCAATAAAAAGCAACACAATCTACCTGCATTGCATTACTCTAAACGTGTAATAACGTGCTTTAACCAGTAGGAGGTGCGGGTTAAAAAGCTGTCAAGTTTACAGTGTTAACAAAATAAAATATACTGCTGTTTCTGGTTTAGTTTACGACGGATATATTCTGTTATTGTTTTGATATTTGTAACACAAAAGCGATGTAAAAAACCCACAGCAACACAGAAAAGATGGTCTTAACATGACCCAGCGGTCTAGTAGTTAATAAAAAACAATAATATCAAAACAAATTATTACTACTAACTTTATTGTGAAATTAAAATAGAACGGTAAAAGAATAGTTTCCGGTCCATTCTGAGGCCCGATCTCTGTAGATAAATAAAGAACTACGACAGATGGGTAATGTTTAATGCAGCCAAACCATTCATTACAATGCATTCATGTGATGACTTTCAAAGAGTAAAGCAAGCACTGCTGAATAAAGTATGATTTGATCTTTGACGAAACGTTTTTTTCATTGGAATGCAGTTGGAGGTCAACCAATCACAGAGCTTGAGGCAAAGCGGAACAATAGCTGAGGATTCTGGGTAGTGTAGTGTCTTCTACCATCCACACACTCCGAAAACATATTTGTTTCTCCGAATCGAAAGGGGAAAATACAAAAGCATTGCACACAATTTAAACCAATCAATGTTGTGTAATTAACAAGGATAATCTGGTGTTTTTGAGTTGATGAGTAGTGCAGATATCACTGTAAATAAAATCAATGGACAGTAAGGAGAATACTTACTTCCGGGTGTAAAATCCTCCGTTATCCAATGGGAATGGAGGCTCACATTGCTCTCTGTGTCCGTAATACAATAAAGGGTACTTAATCAAATAGGAATATAATTATCTTTTAAATAACGTTAACTAAAGGGAACAATCTCTTTGACACAGCTGAAGCTCTGGCCTTCCTTAAAAACGAACTAATTTAATAAAAATCACAGTTGTATTACTTACAATACATTGTTTTTTGAGAACAAACATTGGTGAATAATGCACCATAATACATTCTGACGAAAAATAAAAATTATTATGAATACAAATAAAATAAAAGAAGCCTCCTGTGAGTTACTACAAGCTATAAAGTAGATTTTAAAAACGTTTTATAGAATAAAAGCTCACTGCTGGACGTTGTAGAAATGCGTGTGTGCACCACGACAAAGGAGCCTCATTCACTTTACATTGGCGTTGTTTGCGTGGTGCAGACACGTAAATGTAACAAAGTTCGTGACTCCACCACGCACTGCGGTGTTAAGGAGTCGTGGTGGAGTCACGCATTCTGGTGAGACCAGGTGTGTGTGTGTGTGTGTGTGTGTGTGTGTGTGTGTGTGTGTGTGTGTGTGTGTGTGTGCGTGCGCGCGCGCGTGCGCGCGCGCGCGCGTGTGTGTCTGATCTGATCTGATCTGATCTGATCTGATCCGGATGGTTACTAATTCCTTTTCTTTATGGCGGTCATTTTTGACCAGGAACACCAT